ATATTAATTTGACCTTTATTGGATAGTTTCCAAACATTTCTTACCTCAGGCAGGGACATGACAAAATCATGCAGCTGAGCTTTTTTTGCAGCAGAAATGACTTCATTCATGCTGACTTCATGCATGTTGATGCCGTATTTAATATTTTCAGCAATGCTACAGTCAAACAATACAGGCTCCTGAGAAACAATTCCAATTTTTGACCTCAGGAAGGATACATTGACGTTCCTGGTGTCATGTCCATCTATCCGCTACAATGACAAATACAAAAAAGCATTAAACCTGTAGAACCCGTATTTGTCCCTTCTAAAGCACATGCAGTAATGGCTGAAAAAATAATAAAATTAAGATTGTTCATACCTAAATCACTTTTTTAATTAGGGCTGGAAGGCTTTTTGATTTTCATGTCACCTGAATTATCTATGTAACAAACTATTGACATACTTTAACCTAATATGTTTTATGTTCAAGATTCCTATTTAATCATTTTCTTAGGTGAACTGTTTTATTTAACAATAATAATAATTATAATAATTGCTTACACGCCAACGGAAAATTTGGCCAGGACACCAGGGTTACACCCCTACTCTTTTCAAGAAACGCCCTGGGATTTTTAATGACCACAGAGAGTCAGGACCTCAGTCTTCCATCTCATCCAAAGGACGGCCTGTTTACAGTATAGTGTCCCTGTCACTATATTGGGGTATTAGGACCCACATGGACCACAGGGTGAGCATCCCCTGTTGGCCCCACTAACATCTCTTCCAGCAGCAACCTTAGTTTTTCCCAGGAGGTCTCCCATCCAGGTACTGACCAGGCTCACACCTGCTTAGTTTCAGTGGGTTGGCAGCTGTAAGTTGCAGAGTGATATGGTTGCTGGCTGGCTGGCTGGCTTAAAACTAGTGTAAATAGAAGAAGATCACTTTACTGGCCATACACAATTTCTTGTATTAGGAATTTGTCTTTCCCAACGTGCTCTCCATGAGACACACAGACAGGGAGAGAAGCTTGGGGTTAAGGGACTTGCTCAGGGGCCCACCAGAGTAGGATTCCTCTGCTGGCCATGGGATACGAGCCAGAAACCTTCCAGCCACAGGCTCAGATCCACCACACCGCCCCATCCCTAAGTGTCCCTAATCTATATCCCTAAGCGTCAGTTTTAAGGTCTCCTGTCTTATTGGATAATGGCTTGCCTTGTGTTAGTTTCATGTCAATAAAATCCTCTTTATTGAACTTACTACTTTTCCCTCATCTGGATCGTAGAATCTCTCCAGCAGCTGAACACTTGTACTCTTACCACAGCCACTACTTCCTACAAAGGCCAAGGTCTGTCCAGGCTTCACAGACACACACAAGCCATTGAGCACTGTGATATCTGGCCGGGCTGGATATGTGAATTTGCAGTCCGTGAATTCAATGTCTCCTTTGAAGTTTGACTATTGGGAAGAAGAAAACTGTGAATAAGATATTTGACACCCATGAAGTTAAGTCACTGCCAATCTCCAGTGTATTACATGTCAAAACTGCCAAATCAACACAAATGTTATTCAAATTATTTAGCCTATACTTTACTACAGCTACTAAGATCCAAGGCAATCAGATGGTAAAAAGTGAAAATAGAAAAACAAAAACAGAATAGAATAAAAAACAAAAATCTTAATACAATATTTCACAATTATACTATAAATGACACAAGTTAACATTAAAACAAAATATTGTAATTCTGTATCAATCAGACTTACAGAACACATGATCTATTACTCTTAAGAACCAAATGTGTACAAAATTCTTATTTTCATAAACCATTGAGCAGATTGAAATACTGTAATTCTGGATAATGCAGTATACGGTAGTTCACATAACTATGTTTAAAGTGTAAAACATAAAATCAAAAAACAGATTATTTACTAATGTCTAAAATGCATGTCCTGATCATTTCTGACAAGCATTGAATGTTCATGGCATATTTAACACAAGTCAGTTTGGATGCCAACCAAAAATAAGTACATAAAAGAACTGTGTTGAGGAGACTGTTTGCAGATGATGCAAGTGATCTAACCAGGCATTTTTAAGGCACAAAAATCCCATATAACTGCTGCCTGGAAACCACTGGCATCTGCAATTTGGAGATGATAAATGCACTTCACTTAACACTACCCCAGCAAAGAACAGAGTGACTTTTATGTTAATTAGTCCTTCAGAGACCATGAACGCTTTAGGCAAATTAACATGGTAGAATTCCTAATGCCATAGTAACGCACTTATAAACAAGCAGTTTATGACAGAGACACATTAACAACATCTGCCACAATAAGGTTAGCAATCTGTGTGCAATTTGCTTTGCAAATCAAATTTATCGCAAGTGACACTGTCTGACACCTCATGCTACAGAGATCATGTTGCAAATACAGTACACGTACAGTATAGTACAAAGAGTATGGTCCATCAGAGACTGACTATGTTTAGTTATTTAGCTGCCTCTTATACACCCTGATTCCACACAGCCCAAAAAAGCTAAACTACACCTTGTAGTTTGATATTATCAAAAACCAAACCCTCCTCCACAGAACTGTGAAAAACTCTGGTAAAAGTGTCTGCCATAATTAATAGAGATGGCAAATAATGGCTTAAAATAATGGCTTATAACCCTTGTATATGTATCATATAAATTCAAAGACTGTATTAATGTTTGAGTACTGTATAGTGCATTACATGTAAATGCAATGTACACTATACACATACAGTACTGTACTGTAAAACACAATAATACCAGTCTTACCCATTTTTCCCCTTCCTCACTATAAACATTGATTTTGGGAACCTGGTCAAGAAGTTGAAAAAACCTCGCAGCCGAGATTTTGGCTTTTGCATAATCTGGTGTATAGGACGAAGCTCTCCCCAGAGCAGTTCCACTTGTGACTATAGCCGAGATCACTCTAGAGCAAAGGGGAGGTAAAAAGAAAACATGAGCTTCAAACTGAAGTTGCCCAGTCAAAATCAGAAGGACATCAACTTCACAAAGAAACAGACACCTGAACACGTAGCTGAAGTGGAGTCCCTCTTCACTGACCAGGTATCCTCCAAACCTGTAAGACGCTGAGTTGGCCATGAACACCACACACTGAGCAAAACCATAGCAAGCTCCATATACATTGGCTTTTTTAATGGCTGCCTTATATGGAGCTTCAAGCTGCGCCTCGTACATTTCAACAAACGCCTTCTCTTTCCCAAGGCCAGCAATTGTTCTAATGTTGTTCAGCGCTTCTCCTGAAATCTGCAATGGGAAGGAAAAAAAAGTTTTTTTTGTTGTGTTTTGGAGTCATAAAGGTATATAAGATTGTGGTGTGGTTGTTTGAGGCTCAGTATAAGACCTAATTTTGTTTCTGAAGACAAATATGAAGTATTTTTAATGCCTAATAAGCTTTTTGATTGGGTAATTTTAAACAACATATTTGACTGAAGTTAAACTGTGAAGAAAAGCTTCTTAAATGAATGTTCACGGAATAAGTGCGGTGTCGAGGGAGTGCCAGGATCAGAAGGATCATCTGGAGTGCCTCAGTTCCCTGTTCTGCCTGCTACTGCTCTGGCCCCTGAGAGGAAAACTAGAGCAGAACAACAGGAAGAGACTCTAGAAGATCTTAAATGGGCAGATGAAAACCGCAGCAAAAAAAGAAAACAGAACCTCAGATTTTGTGCACAAAGAATGAGCTCTTTGTCTTGACTGAGCGAATGTACTTGTGAAACTGGAGATTCTCTCTGTAATACTTCAGTAGCAGATTACTCAATGTGGGGTTTAGTTAGATCAAAGGTCAGACTGCTTGGACTAGGATTAGATTAGTGACCAGTGGGTCTAGGAAAAAGTATTTTGCTTTACTGTTATTGTTTTTATTCTTCTTTTGAAGACTCCTGAAATCAGTAAGCTTATTGTTTTCTTCTATTTTGTACCTGCTTAGCCCTTCTTGGTATTGCCATATGAATCCTGTACTGCTTTAAATCTGTGATCCCTCTAAGGCGTCTAAATAAAAATGTTTGTTTTAAAAGCTTGCCTCACAGATATGACCTTATCTGGAATCCAATCAACTAGTCGCTAAGGGTCACCTTTGGAACCTTCTCCAAAGGAATTAGCCTTGCAAGATCATTAGGGGTGCTACACCAGCTCTGCCCTGGAGTCTTAGGGTTTGCCCCTCTAGGGGCAAGAGACTCAGTAGTACAAGGCTAGCATCCACTCAGTGTCCTTCACAAGGTAACTCCTGTGCTTTGCTAGTTGATCGACAACACAGGCTTCCCAGGATGAACCCCCTGGTCTGGACCTCCAAGGTAGAGAGAGTCTGTGTGCCTCAGTGTAAACTCTCCCCTCACAACAGGGCGACACGATAGTGCAGTGGTTAACATTAGTGTCTTACACCACCTGGGCCCTGGGATCAATACATCGGGTGCTATCTATGTGGAGTTTGTATGTTCTTCCTGTTTGTGCGAGAGTTTCTTCTGGGTCCTCTGATTTATTCAAACAGACCAAAGACAAACTGGTAGCGTAATTGGCTTGTGGGAAAATTTGCCCTGGTGCGAATGTACAGTATGTGCCCTGTGATTGATTGGCGATGGATCAAACATGTACTGTAAAAGGAAGACTATTACCAACCATAATGCATTTCCTAATATAATGCTGTTAAGGTGAATATTTCACTTTTGAAAAAAAGTGCAAATTAAATTAGACGTAGTAAACCCAACATTCACATACAGTGTACTGTATTTGCTGCCGATTACTGTAGAACTCCAAAATTCTACTTCTTTTACAATTCAAAAAGAAATATTCATAAACCTACCCTTCCTGCTGCCTCCATCGCATCCTTGTCCTGCTTTGCAAAGCCTGTCAGCATTTTTGCTTGAAATCCACCAGATAATGCCAAGAACGGCAAGAAACACATGATGACTAAGCTGAGTTTCCAGCTGAAGTAGAATGAGATAATGATGGCAACTCCAACATTAGTCAGAGAGTTCACTATCATGCCTATCTGAGAGCCTGTGGCCTGGAATCAGAACACAAAATGTTACCACTCA